CTTTTGTACAAAGTATTAGATAAATTTCAGTAAGTGTGTTCAACACTTTTTCCCTGTGCCATTCCACATTATTACAAATAACTTAATTTCTGGACATTTATGGTTTGATTTCTTTGTATGTATGGATCACTTAGGTTGTTACCGACATCTGGTGAAAATTTCACATCATTAGCACCTCTAGTAATATGTTTACTGAGAAAAATGATGACATGTTCAATACTCATTTTACCCACTGTAGTACTGTTTAAAAAAAAAAACAAGATATGTGTTTTGCAATAAACAGTTCCGGGCCTTCGTAGACCTGAGGAGTGCTTCTCAGAGGTTGCAGAGAACTGTTGACCTCAAAAGGTTTTGATGGAAAGTGACTCCCCTCGATAGCTTCACGCCCACATTTGCAGATACAGAAAGTGTCTGATGCGTTTCTGAAACCGTGAGCATGAGATGGAAGTTGCTGAACTTGCGACATGACTGCACACGCTCCTGTCTCTGCGCCGCAGAGCGTCACATGCTGCCTCCTCAGCATCTGAAGGTTCCTCGCATGTCCTCGTAAACATCGTTGTTGTTCGTGGCCACATGCCGTGGTTTCATCGAGGGTCTTGAGCGCTGCGAGGAAAGATGGAGAACAGTGGAAAAAAAAACAGTTAATTTCAACAACTTGCATGGAAGCTTATGAAACTCTTGCAAGTCTGAGGAGAGGATTTAAAGAGGTTTCAACACATTGGATTAATGTACTGTATGTATTCAAAGCAGAAGTTTGTGTTTCTGTAAATATTCAAAATCAACCAACATTTTTGTTCAGTGCATCAACGTTACAGCAGAAGACAAAACTAACTCAATGTGCAGCACAATTTAATCCAGAATGATCTGCGGAAAATTATTTCACAAATATATATTCAGAATATGGATTAGGCTTCTTAAAATCATGCAAATAAACCAATTGCACATAATAGTACTCATTTTACACTGCAAACAATTATTCATCTAACCAAGTCTTACAATATTTGATCCAGCCAATCTTGTTTTGTTGACCAATATTAAGCAAGAGAATGTGTTAAATTATTAATCTTGTTAGCTTGGAAATTTGAAGTCTTACCAAGTACAATTATCTTTTCTGCAATTGTCAGATTATTTCATTTAAAGTGGACTTAACCTACTTTAAAATCCTTCTTTTTTCACATTTAAATCCTTCATTTGGGGTCTATGAAAAGTGGAACTGTTATGCTTTGAATTAATTCCTATAATTTCTATTCTTATTGTAGCTTTGCTGTGTTGTGTCTCTGATCAACTCGTTTTGACGTTTGAATCCAAACGAGGCACTTCACCCCCACCCCCCAGCTTCGAGAGTGGGCCTCTAGTTTGATAGAGGGGGTATATCTTGCAGTTCAAAAGCGTTTTATTTATAAATAATTAAATCATGTCAACAAGACTTGTTCATCCAGCCTTATGAGTCTGACCCAGAGCCATGAGGAGAATGAAGATGACCAAATTGTTGTTATGCTGTGACGTAATTTTTCAGAAAGCATCATAGAGAGAAGTGAACAGGTTGAAAACTATGACCCAAACAGAATATAAAGATATTGTTGCAGCACCACGTGAGACTAAATTACAATTACAGCATATTTAACAGCTAAAAAAGTGGGTTTTGAATGAAACTTCATGATAATTTGAGAAGATTCAGACTATATTCTAGTATTTTTATAACTTATTTTTACATGACTAATTTTTGCAGTGTGGTCATAATCTTTTGCATGCATCACTTGTTTTTTTTTTTGTTACAGGAACTTGCATAGTCTGCTGGTTTGTGTTGCTTATTAAGCTGTTTTCAAGATCGCTAAACTCTGTTATCAGATGTTTGAGCCTTTCTAAGTCTGTTTGTGTGCAGATCCTTCTATGTGCCCTCAAACCTTTTTAGGTTATTTTTTTTAAAGATTTTGATAAACAAGCCATGAGTTTTACTTTAACCATGTTTTTTGGTTTTGAACTGTGAAAAAAACCCACTGCAAGTAATCAGAGCCTTAGAACATATCACATGAACCAACATAGAAATTGGTACATTGTTGCTGTTTACTGAAGCAAGTTTGTTTCATAAAAAAACACTGTTCAGCTGTTCAGTAGATAATATATTAAATTCTGATCATTTAAAAAAATGTATTATTTGCTTATGGTTGAAGAATGTTAAATACTATCTCTGTGCATAAATTTAAAAACCATCCTGAGCACATTTGAAAAAGCTCTCAAAATAAAATGAAACTTGCAGGTGTTCTAGTTGAACGCACCAGCTGATGAGCACTGCAGCACTGTTTGTGTCTCAGGTACATCCCCTGGGCCACAAACAACTTCAGTGAGTCATAGAGAAACAATCAGAAGCAGAAAAATACACACACACTCACTACAAAATACAAAATAAAAAAGAAAAACTTACCCTGCGAATGATCCACATGACAAATGTCAAAATGAGAAGCAGTAGGACCACAGCAGCTCCGACGACGTACACAACCACCATATTCAGAGGAGGCGACTTACAGCCTTGAACCGACGTCACTGAGTCCTTGTTTTCTTGAAATCACAAACATGTGTCATTAATGTTACATTTAAAAAGTCTTCTTTTATTCACGATGTGTGTGTATAACTATCTATCTATCTATCTATCTATCTATCTATCTATCTATCTATCTATCTATCTATCTATCTATCTAT